TGCTTCCGTGCTTGTTTTTGCGTCTTATGTCTTCAATTAGTTTGTAAATTCCTTTGAGGGATGCCTTCCACAGCATTGCTCACCTCAGCTGGCCGTCGTTGCCTTACCATAGGGGGGTAGATGAGGCGGTGGATCGGGATCATCTCTAATGTGTAATAGTCTACGATTCCAGCATCTTTGCACGCTCCCTGAGGATCAGCACAGACCATTCAGATAGTAGAATCTAAATTCCATCATTTGTTGGGGGGCAAATGGTTATTGAGTAAACACAACATACGGATTAACTGGTGGGTCATTGTTGAGGGCACATTAATGGAACCAATGTGGCCTGTTAGAAAGGGCAGAAAGCTGGCAAAAACAAATCAGTGGAAAATCTGAATGTCCTTGGTAAACAAGCCTCACACATTTTATGAGAAGAAGAACTTGTTACTGAAGTTGGTTTGATTTTTGCTTCAATATCGATATTTATCATAAAGCACATCAAATAAAAATGAAGGTTGGAGTCTCCTAGGTATCTTACACTTCTGTGGCCATGATCATATTGTTTCTTAAATGTCCTTCCCCAATCCTCTGCTTCTCAACTCTTACCCCTCAAGCATCAGCTCAGACATCTCATAAAGAAACTTCAGGTGGCGGTTCTTGATGTTTTCATTCTTTCCCGTGCTTTTCCAAAGGGTGTTGCTCCTCTTTTCATGTAGTCCCATTTTATTCTGCTATATATTATAGTTTATCATTTATATCTGTCTTCCGTACTCCAATGCAAGGACTCAAAAGTGGGAATCTTGTTTTAATCTTCTTTGTCTCTGTCCAGCACGTAGGACAATGCCCGGTACGTAGTAGTTCTTTGATCAATGTTTATTGAATTGGATTATAGATTTCACATCAGCAAAATGATGCATTTCACTTTACTGCTGTCAAAACAGTTTTACATGCAAAGCTTCACCTAAATGAGACAATGAAAAAATATGGCTCAGCTCATAAAATCTTTGGGGTCCCTTCTGTTGAGTATGTTGACCTCTATGCCAGTTTCTCAGCCTCTTTAAGGACATATGTAAATTACTTAAAGAGGCAGGGAAAAATAAATTTTAAGTAAGTGCTAACCCTCAGAATTGAAAATGATTCTAAGGTTAGAGCTTCATGTATTTTATTGTCCAGACAATTTTCTTCACATATTTACGTATCCTGTTGAGGCCTCCTTTTGGCTGAGATTTATGTTGATGTCATCAGAAAGTATACTTCTGCTGGACACATTTATAGGTTCACGATGTATGCATGTGTCAGGAGCTGTTGGGTAATCATAGCACTAAACGTTGAGACAGTACTTGGTTTGGGGAGCAGAGGTGGTTATTTCATTTTAAAGTAAAGGGGCCCATGACAGCATTTTTTCTCTTCTCATTAGAAATCATCTTTCAAATCAGAAGGAACACTTCTGTAAAACCGAAGGCACAGAGTGAGAACATTTTCTTCCAGAGCTTCTCATTCAAGACCCTTCCCTGAGCAGCCCTTAATGATGATTGCAGTCCTGTGGGGCAGTGTGGGCAACTCTTTGAAATGTCTCTGGCTAGCAGCGAGGTGCTTCACACTCACAGGGCTGGGTGCAGGCTGTGACAGATCGCGCTCAGGTTTGCAGTAGGGTGGCCGCTGTGGATCTGCCAGGCAGTGACACTAGGAATCAGGAACGCAGCAGGGTCGGGGGCATGTGTCACAGATGGTGGGCTGAAGAAGGCTAATCTCATGTGGGCAGCTGCTGGGAAGGTTGTTTCCAAATTGACAGTCTTTCCTTGTTTTTCATCACCTGGGCAGATCTGTGGTATACTGCTCAGCTATTTTGTAGGGTACATACTGTTTTTAATCTTATTGAACAGATGAGGAATCTGAGGCATAGAGCAGTTAAATGACATAACCAAGGACCCATAACTACTAAGTGGTAGGGTGTGACAGCCTAGTTTGAGAGACCTCTCTCTTGGCCATTGTGTAGGGGGTATTGCCCTGACTAGATTGTAGGCTGCATGTTGCCGCCAAGACTAGTGGCAAGTAAGATTTGTGAAAATGACTCTACTAGCTTATTGAGGGGCTTCAGAATCACACTGAAGAACTTAGCCTTGATTCAGTAAAAACAGAAATCTTGAGTCGTCCTAGAGTTTTGAGCAATAATTTAAACAATTTCAGGGTCAGGAGCCTGATCTGACAGGAATATTGTTTGGGTGGAGGAAGGGGTGGAGAATACTTGACTCAAGGTCAACTAGGAGTATGCCTGTTATCAGGGGTGTGGTGATCAGGGCCAGAGGCAGCGAAGGTGGAAGGAAAGATGCCAGGAACAGTTTGAAAGAAAAAGGAAATGACTTGGTTTTCTAGTCTATTCTCAAGGATAAACAATTATTAACTTTAAGGGTAGTTTGTCTTTACCTTGAACTAGGTTATTAGAACTTATCAGAAAAGACTCTGCATTTCATTGCAAGGTTAAAGACCCAGTCAGTAATTTTCCTGTTCTGATATTGTTAGTCAATATTTAAAGTCTGACTTAAAAAAAAAAAAAAAAAAAAAAAGATGATTTGTTTTCACCTTAGAAATGCAAACAGTTTTTTCTAGGCTCATTGTATACACTAGTTTTTGTCTTAAACCACAGAGAAAGCTGAGTTACTATGTATAACCAAATACACAGTTTAGAGGAATGGTAGAGAATGTATTGCCAAGGGGCATCTAGTTTCTTCTGGGTAGAGAGCCATGTATAACCCGATGTCTGTATGCTGAGGAGGCAGATACTTTGGTGAAGGGGAAGGAGAAGGGACTTTGGATTCAGGCCATTTTAGGTTTAATCCCTTCTCTGTCACTGACTGTATAACTTTGGCAAGAAACTTTTCCAGCCTCAGTTTCCTCATCTGTAAGGTGAGGAGAATACTGGTAGGTACCTCTTAGTGTTTTTGTTAGAAATAAATGAGGTAATGCACCTAAAGCACCTACTTGAGTGCCCAGCAGATTCACTAAATATTAGCTATACGAATAAAAGCAGGAAAAGTAATAAGGTGGGATGGGGTTGGATAGTGGCATGGAGTACTTGTTACTTAAAATGCTTCTGGATAATCTAGAACCATAGAATGTCAAAACTAAGGTGACTTTAGAGAGGATCTGGTCAACCAGCCCATTTTACTGCTTTAAGACCTGAGACCAAAAGAGATCAAGTGACTTGCTCAGAGTTGTAGGGTCAGCCCGAGGCAGAGCCGGGACTAGGATACCCATCTCTTGGTTTCCAGGTGGGGCTTTTTAACTAGCTAAAGGAACTTGAATGCCTAAAGGCCCACAGAGGTAGTAATAGGAGACTTAGAATTATTTTCAGTATTCAAAATAAAGTCTAAATATTTATCCCTTACAAAGATGTGAAAAAACATCAAACTTTTTTGCTTTTGACTAAAAAAGAGGTGACTTGGCACAGTAACAATAGTTATATTAATCTTAAGACTCTCACTTATAAATGTATTTATGAATAAAAATGAAGGAATGACTAAATTATTATTTTAAAAAGCTGGAAAGGCTCAGTTGGTTGAGTGTCATCCTGTGCACCTAAAGGCTGCCAGTTCGATAGCCCGTCAGGGCATGTGCAGAAGGCAACTGATCAATGTTTCTCACATCAATGCTTTTCTCTCTCTCTCTTTTCCTCTCTCTAAGCATGTCCTCAGGTGAGGATTTAAAAAAAAAAAAAAAAAAAGCCATTTTGAAAAACACACACAACATTTTTCAAGAAATAAAAGGATGCCTTTTGGTGACAAAGCTGGGAACCAGTGTGTGGCAGTAATGGTGAGAGTCTCTCGCTGTGACTGGAGTGCTTCTGTGGATGCTTTGGGTCATTTGATCCTCACAGTAATCCTGGGACACAAGCAGAGAAGAGAGCATTATTTCTACTGCAATAATGAGGAAACAGGCTGAGAGTGAAGCGAATGGCCCAAGATCCCATGGAAAATCCACGAAAATACACAACTAGGCTGCATTCTGGGTACTTCTTGCAAAAACTTTACTGTACTTGGATTTTTCCAGGCCACCCTAGGAGATGAATTAATGGTCATCATAATTCATTGATGTTTTGTTGTAGGAGGAAATGTGTGTTTTTATTCCCATAATTATGTATTTTTGTTGTATGGAGAGGACTGCACTATAGTCTGATGTTTTCAGTTTATTTCAGTGACATGCTATTATATGTCATTTGGACTAGTAAGTTTCTAAATATAGTTATGACCAATGGAAGCCAAGCCTAATTTGAGGAAATAAGGAATACTCAATAAATGCTAATATTCATTCCAGACTGATTTTCCTAGAAGACAAGATATATAAAGAAATATTTCTATTTTTTCCAAAATTATGTAGCATTTTAACTTGAAATTTCATTGGTGACTATGACTAATGGAATTAAATTTATTTCTACACACTAGCAAAATGATCAGTTTGTTTTATCAGTTAAGAAGGAAAGAAAGAAAAATCAATTTTAGGGGTAATGAAAATGAAATAAAATATTTAAAAAACATTATATTAATCTCTAGGCTCCAGAGTAGTATTTGGTGCAGTGGTTGTCTTAAAAATATATTTATTGAATGAAAAGACCCTCCAAAATGACCTACTGAATTTTTTACTTTTTAACCTACCACAAAGAGCCAGTATCTAATTACTGGACGATTCCACCATGAAAGCTCTCATTCTGCTGGGGGTAAATCTTGCAGAGTAGGATGACCTGCTGTTCAGGTCTAGGTAGGCATTCTACTTTCCCTAAAAGGAATATGGAATAAATCATCACAAGGCCATATTTGCTAAGCCAGAATGAAGTTTATTAATGAATAATCAAAGTGGTTATTTCTCAAAGAGCAGTAGAATAGCCTAAAAGACAGATAAAAGGTTTCCAAGTCGCCCCAAAGGAGGAAAGAAGAGGTTGGACTAATTCATGAAAACGTGGCCCAGCGGAAGGTCTGGAGTTCGCCTGCGGTAGGCAGCAGCCGGCGTTGAGGGCTGGGTGATGTGGAGGACACTGAGCAGCACATCACTGACCCTGTGCGGAGTCCTGGCTGCCTAACAGCAGGGCTCACAGGGACTGTCACAGCAGGGCTGCACGCAGGTCGTCAGGTTGATCCCGCACAGTCCGGGAGTTGGGTGGCAAGTGTTGAGCAGCCAGCAAGTGGGCACATAGGTGTCAGGCATACAGCAGGGTGGGGGGCAGGTGTCACAGCAGGTGGGCTGAAGGAGGCTGATGTCATGTGGGCAGGTGCTGGGCAGGCAGACTCCACAGCGGCAGCATTTGTCAGAGGAGCAGATGGTGGTGGCGGGGCCGGTGGGGACGCTGCAGCAGCAGGGAACACAGCAAGCCATGGTGTCAAGATTTGGGTTTTTGTTGGGTTGAGGAGAGAAGTCTCTTAGTGTCTCAATGCTTCTCTCTCCTGCCCTGGCTCTTATATACCCACCCCCCTGGGCGTCAACCTATTAGCAAGATTTTCTTCCCCATGTTTCAGTTTATAGCTATCTCCATAAAAACCATCTAATTACTTAAGTGTTTATTACCTAAGACACACTCCTTACCTCATAAAAGGGGGTTAGTTTGTTTTGCTGTCCAATTGGGACTCTTCACGTTGGCTGTTTGTCACAGCACGAGCGTCTCATTTCGGCCTTCAAAGGCACCAAGCGATTGTCTCCTAATTGTTGCGTATCAGTCACGATGGCCTGGAATGCCGGCTGTCTTCAGATCCCACACACGATTTTTGCTTTCTTTTCAGATGAAACGATAAATAGGCTTTTATATCACTCTTCTACCCAGCACCCAAAGATTCTATGTGATAATTTTGGTGTTGTGGCTAAAAAAGTGATAAGATTTGTAGATTTATACTTCGTGGCTCCGAGGAGCTGAATTAAGATGAACAGGTGGCACCTACAGGGAAAGGGCCTCTGGTTCTGTGTGAAGAGGCCCTTTCTTCCAGAGCTGTAACAGACCATGTGCTCTTCCCCTTCGCACTGCTTTGAACGATCGCTTGGCAGGGGCATGTAGATGAGACGTAAGACCTACATGGGTGGCCATGATGAGTGTCCTTTAAAATTCTGTGAGTAAAATTCTATGAATTAAACCATGTTATGAATTAAGATTATTTATGACCTAAAGACTCGTTGTATTGAGCCATTTAGAGACTAACCATTAGCGTAGTATTTCCCAAAAGGAGTTCCATTAGCACCCATTCCAAGGAACATTAGAGCGTTCTCTGGTAAATAGGTTTGGGAAATACTGAGTTCTTCGTGGTGGACCTCTCAGAACCTTTAATATGCTAAGGTGCTCTGTGACTTTTCACTACAGAGATATAGCATTTATCTTTCTCCCAAATGACATGACCGTGGAACCATTTTTGTATTTTAGTTTTTATAGGTTAGCTTTATAGATTAGTGTTCTATGGAACACACCTGGGGAGATTCCGAAATTACATCTAAACCACTAAGACCTTAATAATAAAATTATTCAATTTTAAAGACATAAAACTTAGTATGATGTTTTAGAATTACTGTAAAGTAGGAAAATATTAACTGGTAAATTTTTAGATATATGTTACTTTGAAAGTGTTAAAAATGTATATATTTTCTGACCCACGTTCAGATAAAATGATGCAGGCTCTAAAAAATAATTAAAAATTGCTCAATATAGAGGAGCCAGAAGTCAAAGGACATGCAAATCAACAAGCTAATGGATGCAAAAGATGCTTACCATGAAAACTGCTTTCATTTTAGCTATTTTCTTACTACAATGGTTTTGTGGCTTTGGACCCCTCTGCTGGGAATTAGCTTGTTGTTCACGTTGCTTCAGGAGATATCTGTTCAATCAAACACTCGTTGGTCGGCACCTGCTGTAAGTCAGGCAGCATGCAAAAAAGAAGCCAATAGGTTCTTGTCCTCAGGAAGTTATAGAGCAGAAAAGTCACAGAGAAGTAAGCTGGCAAATGACAACACAGGGTTGTACATGTGTGTCTTCTAGGTAAGAAATGGGAGTTTAGAGCTGGGGTCACTGACTGGAAGACTTGAAGAGAATCTTATGAAAAGGGAACATTTGTGTGGGTGCTGAAGATCAAACAGGAGCTTTGCAGGTAGAAGGGAGGAGGAAGGGAATTTCAGGAAGTGAAACAGGAGCAGACTGTCACGGTGTGTTTCCGGCATGGCAGAAGTGTTGGTTGGCGAAGGCACAGATTCTGGGTCTCCTGGAGGGAGGTGTCGGGGAAAATAATGAGAGACGGCATTGGAAAGGTAGGTTATCGCCACAGGAGGAAGAACACCCACTGTGTTTAGTATCCACACTCAGCGTTTAGGAGTACATCCTGTTGGCCGTGGGCATTAACTAAAGGCCTTTGAATGCATATGTGACATGGTTGGATTTGTATTTTAGAAAGATGACTGTAGTTTTTGAATGGAGGCCCATCATCATCATCATCATCATCATCACCTACTATTAGGTCTTGTGCTGAGTGCTTTATATATATTGTACATCTCTCACCACACACTTACGATGTATGCAGGGTGCTGTCCTTGCCATTTTACAGATGAGGAACCTGAGGCACAGAGAGCTAAGTAACCGGTGAGTAAGTGATGGAGCTGGTGTGTGGAACGCAGCAGTCCCGCTCGAGATTCCACGCTCTTGGCCGCTGTGTGTCTTCCCTCTCGGCCTGGGAGTGTTGTTCTGACAAGACTGAAGTGACCCTCGAGATCAGTTGTGTGCGAGATTGGTGAGAGGGATGGGACCCGCTTACTGAAGTCTTGAGGCCACGAGAGGAGCTGATTGTAGAGCCTATTTTCTTAACTAAAATACTATTCTGTAGACTGGAGATACTTTGAAGGCAGGGACAGTGGCTGGGAAGCTATGTGGTGTTCCACGGGAGTGATGAGGGCCTCATTTCTGTCTTAGAAGGTGTCATGGTTGGGGGGCAATAGAGTAGAGGGGCATATCCTGCATTTCTCATCACATCATTCAGTTTTCTGGGGACTACTATCTGGATGACACATCAGTCTCCACGATAAAACTAATGTTCTTGTTTTTAAGGTAACTGGAATGTCCTAATCTTACCCTTCACTAATAGCGAGCAATTACTGAATGCCATGTGCCAGGCATAGTGCTAAGTATTTTATGCACACCTTCTTTCTTATTTCTTACAACCTTATAAGAATATTCTTATGCCTGCTTCCTATACAGCAAAACTGAGAGTAATGATTTAAAGTTACACAGTTAGTGAACGATGCTCATCTAACAGCAATACCTCACACTTATTAATACACCTCAGTATTTTTGTAGAATTAAATTTTATATTCTTGTAAATTATGTTCACTCTTCTCCCCCCCCCCCATTTATTAATTCATTACACAAAATGCCTAGCACCATGCTGGGTGCTAAGCATATAGAAATAAACAGGTCAGATTAGGTCCTTGTTGTCAAGGTGTTCATTCTTGGGGGAGACATAGAAAAAAAATAAGCAAATGAATAAATAAGAACTTCAGACAGTGACAAGTGCAAGAAGAAAATAAAACAGAGTAAAGCGACAGAGAGTGCCTGGGAGGTAGTGCAGGGAGCACATCTGCATTGGTTAGGGTGGCCAGGAACAGTGTTTGCCAGGTGGTTGGAGTACAGAGAAAGAGCAGAGCCGTGGGAGATGAGACCAAGGGGTAGGCAGGTGCCAGGCCGTGTGGGACTCTGTAGCTGGCTCTGCAGAATTTAGCTTTTACCCTAAGGGCATTGGAACCCACCGGTAATTGATGGCAGGGAGTGGTGAGATGTGATTGTGTTTCATGGAAAATGAACTGCATCGGGGCCAAAGTGGAAACAGGCGTAACAAGTGCGTGGCTCAGGTGAGAGGATGAATGCCGATGCCAGTGGTTGATGAATGGGTCAGAGGTGGTAGCGTTAGGCGGCATTTTTCTAAGTAGAGATGGTAGGTCTTGCTGATCAAGAGAGTGGCCAAGGACCGTGTTTAGGTCTCAGGTTTACTCATAGGTGAGAGGGGACCTGAGTCCCAAAGCTGCTGTTGAGCGTAGGAGGGAAGGGGCGAAAGGTGAGTTCAGTGAGCTGCCCGAAGCCCACGAGAGGGAGTGGGGGTGAAGATTTGTGATGCTCCAATGCACACATGGGCTCACTACTAAGTTCCTGGACTGAGATAAAAGGCCGCTTTTATGTGTGTTAGTCACAGTTTATTGTGATCCTCTGTGACTTACCAACATCCATCTCCCAGCAGCTCAGTGCATTTCTGGGTTGCTGTCAGGAAAACCTTCCCATGACGGCACCGCCGGCGTCCGCAGTCATGTCAGTGTTGGGAGCTTTCACACTTCAAGGCAACTCAGTCTTCTTAAGTCTGATGGAGCGCTTCATTCCTTCACAAAAGCAGGATACAGGGACCTTTTCAATTTGTCATCCTAATAAAAATGCCTGTAAGTAAAAACATTTGGTCTTTTATTTCCTGAATTGCGTGAAACCTTGTAAATTTCTGGTGAACTCCTTTATAATACAGATGGGAAGGGAGAAAGGCTGGTGTCAGGACTGCCATTGACATCAATCCTTTCGTTGCAGAAAGTCCACTTCGCTGAGCGTGCGGGCAGAGGACTCTGAGTTTGGGTTGAATGGCAGACTTTGGGGCCCCTTACCGTTGCATCAGGATATTTTTTCCATTGTGTGGTTATAGTTAAAACTGAAAACTACTCTCAAATTGGATTTCTTTCAAACAAAAGTAATTTTGTTTTGCCCCTTGAGGACAGCTGATGCTGGCTATAGTTGGGTAGGCGTATATGACCTAAAGGGGGTAACCCTTCTGTCCTGTGTCACTGGACATGTATGTTCCCGTTCCAACATGCCAGAGTGGGTCTCACAGCATGCAGTCATGCATCGCATGCAAGCTTAGCCTAGCTTCTGCTGGCTGGTTTTTCTTAGGGATCTTAGGCTTTCAGTTTAATTCTCATGTATTATTGTAAGCTATAGAATGTGCACGTAGTAGCAGAGAATTATACCCAGTTAAGTAGGATAAATATATGTGTTCACTAAAGTGAGCCTGGTTGGGAAAGTAGATGTTCAATAAGATTTGAATAATCATGAAGGAAAGCAGGTTTCTGAAGTCAGAGTTATGGTTTTGGGGATAAGCCAGTAGTTAACAAAAAAACCACCTGCAGTCAGGTTTCCCTGGCACAGCCCACTTTACATGGAAGGTTTTTAATGTTTCTGGTTCCTCAGCTGGATTCTGGCAGGCCTAAAACGTTGTCATTCTCTGGCTGTCACCTCCAAAGCTCAGAGATTAATCCTCCC